CTCTCTGGAGTCGGGATCCCCATATTGGGAGTCTCCAGTCTAACAATGTGTGGGGCTCATGTGTCCCCAAATTACCCATTCAGGACACACACAAAGAAAACCACCACACAGCCCATAAAGCTCCACTGTGAGCTGGAGTTATAAGTTCGCTAAACTGTTTTTTCAAAAAAGTAAAAAAAAAAATAGGGGCGCCTGGGTGGCTCTGGGTTAAAGCCTCTGACTTCCACTCAGGTCATGATCCCAGGGTCCTGGGATTGAGCCCATCATCTGACTCTCTGCTTAGTGGGGAGCCTGCTTCCCCCCACCCCCGCCCCGCCCCGCCCCGCCCCGCCTGCCTCTCTGCTTACTTGTGATCTCTGTCTGTCAAATAAATAAAATCTTTAAAAATTTAAAAAAAAATGTGTTTCTTGGGGCGCCTGGGTGGCTCAGTGGGTTAAAGCCTCTGCCTTCGGCTCAGGTCATGATACCAGGGTCCTGGGATCGAGCCCCGCATCGGGCTCTCTGCCTTGCAGGGAGCCTGCTTCCTCCTCTCTCTCTGCCTGCCTCTCTGCCTACTTGTGATCTCTGTCTGTCAAATAAATAAATGAAATCTTTTTAAAAATGTGTTTCTTCATTTGATTCCAATAATGGCTGTTTGCTAATTAAATAATTACAATCCTATGATCATATCAACAAAAACCCAAAAGTACTTAATGAGACAGCATTCATTTTTTAAAAAAGTAAGCTCTTCGTCCAGTCTGGGGCTTGAACTCACCACCCAGAGATCAAGAGCCACAAGCTCTACCGACTAAGCCAGCCAGGTGCTCAAGATAGAGACAGCATTCATTTTTATATAAAAACTTAAAAGAACAGGAATGGAGGAAGGACATTTCCTGAGGCTAGTAGAGTCTTTGTTTCCAACCCAGAGCCAGCAACACGAAGTGGGAACATCCCTTCACTCCTGCCTTCACTTATCTACTCACAGCATTATGGAGCTCTCAACATATGCCTACCACTCAAGTATCCTATCAGGAACCAGGGCCATACATAAAAAAAGATACAGTCACAGTCCTGAAGGACCTTGGCAGATCTGTGACCATCCCAGCACCTAGCATAATGCCTGGCACATGTCAGGCTGAATGAAAAAATGAGATCCATTCCAGAATGCTGAGCTTCAGGGAAAGCATATCCATGGACATCAGCTGCATCTCTCTCTGCTAGAAGAGGTCTGGACAGGCTTTTCAGGTGAGCTGCAGCCAGTGTGCACACACCTACCTCAGAGCCTGATGGGTCTGGCCTCCATGAGCTGCACTCCCTTAACTGGGGAGAAGCCATTCTGGGAGACGTGTTTCAGATGCATGGTGCTTTTGGGTTGCAGAGAGGAAGGCAGATAGGGTCTGAGAATTGACATTAGGGTTTCCAACAAGACATTGGCACTAACCAGCGTCTTCTGTTTCTGAGAAAGCTTGCAATTCTGGGTGTTCTTGATTTCTGTGAGGAAGGAGTCATCTATGGTCCCTCCTGAAGTCCGCATGTGTGTTCTGCACAGAAAAGGGGAAGACAGTGGTAGGTGGCAGAGCCCTGAGCCCTGAGTGGGAATAGTACCTCCACCCTTCCTAGATCTACAAGAGAGATGGCCTCTTCTCTCTGTTGCAGATCTAGGTTCTGGGTCTTCCCAATACTGCCTACAGATTCCCAGAGATGCTGCCAATAAGCTCCTGACCCTGGGCCCAAGACATTTCCCTATATTCCCAGAAACCTTCTCATGCTGAGAATCTCACCAATTCCCCAATTCCTGCAGTGACAGGAAAGCCTCACCATGAGCCCACAAAACTCTGTGGACTTACACTTTCATTCAGTATTCAGATGAGTTTCATGTTTGTGACTCTGACACATTCTGGGGGTGTCATACAAAGGCAGGTGCTATAGGACGAGAAGTACAGGGCCAGGAGCTTGTTGTGCCAGTCCCTATCTTGCACATACTTACTGGCTGAAGGGCATGGAGCCGACATCTGGGGTTCCAATAGGAGCCCCGGGGCAAGTCATTTAACCTCTCTCAGCCTAGTTTGCTCATAAGGAAACGGAGACAAATTCTTTCTTTCTTTCTTTCTTTCTTTCTTTCTTTCTTTCTTTCTTTCTTTCTTTCAAGATTTTCTTTATTTGAGGGAGAGAGAGAGAGCACATGTGAGCAAGCATGAGCAAGGGGGAGAGGCAGAGGGAGAAGCAGACTCCCCGCTGAGCAAGGAGCCCCTATGTGGGCTTGATCCTGGGACTCGATCCTGGGACTCTGGGATCATTACCCGAGCCAAAGGCATATGCTCATCTGACTGAGCCACCCAGGCACCCTGGGAAATACACAATTTGAAGGTCCCTTTTAAGAGGATCTGCTGACATATTTATAATACTAAGGTCTGGCCTATCCTTCATCATCCTGGCCCTGCTCTAAGGGGAGCTGGAGGAGGACACCCATACTGTGCCTCTAAGGGAAAGAGCTTGGCCCAGTATACATTACTAAATACTGGTGAAGAATATGGACAGGAATCAATGATATTATGTATTGCTACCAAATTCAGCCTCAGCAATTACCTCCTCCTCCTCCGCCTCCTCCTCCTCCTTTTCCTTCTTCTTCTCCTCTTCTTCTTCTTCTTCTTCTTCTTCTTCTTCTTCTTCTTCTTCTTCTTCTTTCTTAAGATTTTATTTTTAAGTAATCCCTACAGCTAATGTGGGGCCCAAACTCACAAGCTGGAGATCAAAAATCACATACTCCACCAACCAAGCCAACCGGGTACCCCCATTATGCTTCCTTCTTAAAATAGATGCACATTTATTCTCCTGAATCTGTTTCATATCCCTCTCAAACATGACTGTATTTTCCTATCATTCCTGTGCTGGGTAATTATACTCTTTCTCAAGCCTGTTGTATGGTTCTTGTAGATTCATTTTAGCTCTGGCAAATAATTTACTTTTTTTTTTTTTTTTTTTAAAGAGAGGGAGGAGAGGAGGGACAGAGAGAGAATCTTAAGCAGTCTACATGCCCAGCACAGAACTGATACGGGGTGGATCCCACAACCCCAAAAATCATGATCTGCGCCGAAATCAAGAGTCAGACACTCAACCGATTGAGCCACCCAGGAGCCCCTCCAGATTTTTGTAGGCTTTCTTTATTGGGGCAGCAAACCTTGAAGGATTAAAGTTTAGGTGAGATCAGGTTTTTACATTGGTACTGATTAGAAGGGAGAAACTATATTCATTGAACACTTGCTGAATACTTAGTATATGCAAGAGCTGCAATGACAGCTTTACTTATTCTGCCTAAGTTTTCCCAACAATGTGAAGTGGGTTGTATTCATCCCCATGTCTGAGATACAGAAGCAGAGGCCTAGGACTTTTTTTTTTTTTTTAAGGTTTTATTTATTTATTTGACAGACAGAGATCACAAGCAGGCAGAGACAAAGGGAGAAGCAGGCTCCCTGCTGAGCAGAGAGTCCGATGCGGGGCTCCATCCCAGGACTCTGAGATCATGACCTGAGCTGAAGGCAGAGGCTTAACCCACTGAGCCACTCAGGTGACCTGAGGCCTGGGACTTAGACTTCTCTGGGTTCCCAAAGCTAGAAAGATATTTAGCCAAATTAAAAAAAAATTTTTTAATTAAAAAAAAGATTTTATTTATTCATTTGAAACAGAGAGATAGAGATAAAGATAGAGAGACCATGAGCAGGGGGAGGGGTAGAGGGAGAAGGAGAAGCCAACTCCTCACCGAGCAGGTAGCCCCACCTGGGGCTGATCGCAGGACCGGGAGATCATGATCTCAGCCGAAGACAGATGCTCAACCACCTGAGCCACTCAGGCGCCCCAAATTTCTGTTTTAATATGTACACTTTGTGGCTTTCCTGGCTAATAGAGCTTGTTGTTATATTTTGCAGTGCCCAGAGGCTGCAATCCCTGAATAGACAGCGATTCGACAAGCATCTTTGCCATAAACCAATGGGTGAAGAGGCAGTTTATCCCTGTGGCTAAGAGCTCAGGTTCAGAGGTCTTACATGGCTGGGTTCAAATCCCAGCTCCACCACTTACAAACGTAAAACACATGATCTCTCCAGGCTTCTACTCATTTGTAAAACGGAGATATTACTACCTCATAGAGTTGTGAGGTTAAATGTGCCATATATAAAGCACTTGGCACATAATATATGCTTAACACATGCTGGCTCTTACTAATGATAAAGGGCGCCGGCCCTTTTGCTAGCGCGTAACGTCCTCAGAGGGCTAAGTTAGCCCGGATTCAGTTTCTGCACCACAGATCCTGTGGGGCCTGAAGCCTTGGACAAATGGACAGAGGCATTTCTCTTTCTGGAAGCTCTCAAACCCTCCTCTCTACCCTCAGTCCGGCCAGTGCCTACCTCGATGTGGTCGCGAAGCTGGAGGACCGCGGCTTCGGGAAGGCCATGACCCTCAGGCAGCCGGGCAGCCCGCATCCGCAGCTGGGGAAGTTGTGGTAGTGTACAGCCCGTCGCTATGGCGACCAGGCCCCAGCATCCCAGCGGCTGGGGCGGGGTCACGGTTGTGCCACACCCCCGCTCCCGGAGCCGGCAGTCTGGGAGGGAAGCCAATTAGCAAAGGTGGCCTCAGACCCGGGAGTAGGGTCCCCTCGGTCAATCACTACAGTGGATTTGACTCCAGCTATCAGAACTGAGGCGGGGTGATAAACAGAGGTTATGGGGGTGGACGGCGAACTGGGGGCCTGGATCCGCCTTCCCAGCGGGAATTGTAGTTTTTGGTTTCCCGAAGTCTCGCCGAACAGGCTTATGACTGAGCAGATACGTACTACATATCCCAAAGTTCCCTACGAGCCCGGGTTGTCCCGCCTCTGGAAAGCTCTGCATTGTGGGATATGGAGTCCTCAATGTGGCGAGGGCTGGCAATGTCCAAAGAGAGGTGTCGGACTCGGACTCGGTTTCCCTGCGGCCTCGGTAGGCTCGTCGGCCATTGGCTGAGCGGGGAGGATCTGGTCCCGCTCCTCCCCGCCCCCAGTGACACAATAGCAGCTCCCTCCAAGATGGCGGCGGCGACGGTGGACCCGGGAGCTGGGAGCCCGCAGGCTGGAGATTCCTCTGGTGGGGGCGCTGGGGGCGGGCTGCCGTCCCCCGGGGAGCAGGAGCTGAGCCGGCGCCTTCAGCGCCTGTACCCCGCGGTCAACCAGCATGAGACGCCACTGCCGCGCTCTTGGAGCCCCAAGGACAAGTACAACTACATCGGCCTCTCCCAGGGCAACCTCCGCGTCCACTACAAAGGTATCGGCCTCTTCTACCCAGGGAGGTTGGGGGATGACCGGAGCATTTGCCGGGCACCTGTGCTGCCTGACCCCTGCCATATCACGTCCCTTCCCTGGCCTGGGTGCTCCAGGTTAGGCCTTGGCCCCTGCGGGGTGTCTATGGTGTTGAGGCTGACCAGGCCGAGGGTCGACTCTCTAGACTGCTGTACCCTGAGACACCCGATGGCAAGAGAACTGCAACAGGTGTCCAAACCGAGTGCAGGGCTGGACCTTCCACCCGAGGGCCTTTTTGCTTATCCTGGGTAGCTCCAATTCCAGCTGGGCCTTTCATCACTGCTTAGTTTTGGGAGTGTCAGAAGAAGGGGGTGGTCACATCCCCTCCATTAGCCAGAGGCCTTTGGGCTTGCTCACCTGCCAGACATCACAGACAGAGATTGGAGTTCTTTATTAAAGTTAAGGGGGATGGACTTCAGAGCTGCCTCCTCCCCTGATCTCCCAGGTGGGCTCTCTATATTCTGGAGAGACTGCCAGCAGCACTTGGGAATCCCTCACATGCATCCACATTGCCTGTACCCTCCTTTGGTTTGTATGGGAGAAAGTGTCTCTGGCAGGGCTGCCATTCACAGGAGGAAGTGAGCCAAAAGTGGGAGGCTTATGTGTTTGCTCAGTTGTTCTCTAGTTATTTCTTGAACCATGAAAGGGCTTCCTCTGGCCATGAAGGGGTTAAGTTGCCACGGAGCAGAAAAGAACAAGGCTTCTATCTGCATTTCTGCTGAAATTTCTTCCTTGCTCTCTCCTATTAGGTCATGGTAAAAATCACAAAGATGCTGCCTCAGTGCGTGCCACTCACCCCATACCTGCTGCCTGTGGCATTTATTACTTTGAGGTGAAGATTGTCAGTAAAGGAAGAGATGGGTAAGCCCCTTCTTACCATCTTCTTTTCCCCAGCACCGAACTGTTCCTTGTGGTCAGAGTTCGAGGTCTCCTGCTTGACAGTTGTGACTGATGTGAGCTCCTGAGCTATGTGGGTCTGGGCTACAGAGGGTTGAATAGTGGGGCTGCCTCTGTTACCTGACTGTTGGTATGGCCTGGTTTAAGCGGCAGCTGTTGATGGCAAGTAGGTGCATTGCCATCAACAGGTAGAGGAGGGGACTTCTAAAGAGATTTAGTGATTACACTTCTAAAGTGATTATGTAATGAGATACCTCACAAGTCAGGGAAACCAGTAACAAGTTTACATTAACAATTCAGTATCCAGAATGGGATTTTCCCCACTGTCCTTTGGCATTTGTGACTTCCCTCCTTTCACACTCTTGGTGCATTCAGGGTTCTTTTTTATGGCATTTAGTCACATAGAGGCCTCTGTAGGCTTCAAAGGGATAGTAGAGTCTTCACAGCATTCATCATAGCTGTGGCAGCCACTGGCCTGTCATCTCAGGGTAAACAGCATGCACATGGTCAGAATCAGGTGACCTTGCTGCTCATAAACTTGTTTTTCAGTCCAGGGACTTGAACACCAGTTGGACCAGCTTTAAGAAGGTCCTCATTAAAGTCAGCATTAAGGAGGCTCCTTATTTTAGGGTGATCTAAGCACATAACCTGGAAGTCAGAGGGGAGATTTCCCCTTTTTTCTTTTTTTCCCTTTTTCTCCTACTCTCTTTTTTCCCATTGATTGTGACATAGCAGGTGTTTAACTTATGAAATAACATGATTTCAGCTGTCTTGGAAAGGCTTTCCTCATTAGACCCTAGGTCGATGTGGGAATACACCAGTGACCTTCGTGCCAACCCTGAATATGTATTCTTGAGCATTCAAAATACTTCCTCTCTCTTAGGGACTGCCCCTCTTGTGGTGCATGCAAAATGCCCAGCCAAGGGGCTGTGCTGGGGGAGAACTGCTATAGTCAAGAGCTTTGCCTGCTTCTTTAGTGAAATTGTGTCATCCTTGCCTGGGGTGGTTGTGTGGCCATGGGTAGATGGCGCAGATTCAATCTCTTTGTCTGTGCTATGGAGAGCTAGGCCAGCACCTAAGCTGCCTTTAACCCCGGGGTTCCATGATTCTGAAATTCTGATCATGGCATGCTATTACATCTTTCAACTTTTATCCTGTCTAGTTAATTTAAAGATAGGAAACATACTATTGGAGGGCTTTAAAGTTTCTATTTTCCCTTCCCATCATCTGATCAAAGCACAAAGTGCTTGAACTAGTGTGAATGAGAATGGCCTCTTAAACAGTGCAAAAATAGTTTTGGTAGAGACTGAAATGGCAGTGGCTGGAGTCTCATATTGCCAAAGAGACCGAGGGACATTACTTGGACTTTAGGGAGGAAAATCAATTGTTTTCTCTGTACTCCCAATCATAGATAACCACTGAGCTAGTGAGAAAAGAAAATACTTTTTCAGAAGGGGAGTGTTTAAATGTAGAGACCTGAATTCCTTCAGCTGGCTTTTCACATTTCAGTTGTAAGTGGATCTTGCTGGAAGAGGCCCTATGTTTTGTTAGTTGTCCTTACTATAGTTTTTGCCTGCAGATTCAAAGAAAGTTGGGCATCTTCTATCAGTTTCTGTAGCCAGCATTTTTATATGTGGTTAATATAACCAATAGGTTGACCTGGAAACCTCAGTTTTAACAAAGGCCTCACGTCCTCTGTGTTTGTAGTGGCCTGCTTCACTTGACCACTGTCAGATAGCAAGTATATGAATATCTCCTCGTGGCCTCTTTTTTTTTTTTTAAAGATTTTATTTATTTATTTGACAGAGAGAGATCACAAGTAGACAGAGAGGCAGGCAGAGAGAGGGAGGGAAGCAGGCTCCCTGCTGAACATGGAGCTGAATGTGGGACCTGATCCCAGAACCCTGAGATCATGATGTGAGCTGAAGGCAGACACTTAACCGACTGAGCCACCTAGATGTCCCAGAAAATCCTTTTTTTTTTTTTTTTAAAGATTTTATTTATTTATTTGACAGTGATCACAAGTAGGCAGAGAGGCAGGCAGGGAGAGAGAGAGAGGAGGAAGCAGGCTTCCTGCCCAGCAGAGGGCCTGATGTGGGACTCGATCCTAGGACCCTGAGATCATGACCTGAGCCGAAGGCAGAGGCTTAACCCAGGTGCCCCAAAATCCTTTTTTTAATAAAAAGATCTTCTTTGGACGCCTGGGTGGCTCAGTGGGCATGCTCTCTCTTGTGCTCTCTCTCTTTGTCAAATAAATAAATAAAGTCTTTAAAAAAAGATTTTATTCATTTAGTTGAATGAGAATATGACCTCATTGGGGAGGGGCAGAGGGAGAGGGAGAAGCAGAAGCAGAAGCCAAGTCTTCACTGAGCAGGGAACCCGAAGCAGGGCTCTATCCCAGGACCCCAAGTTCATGACCCGAGTCTAAATCAAGAGTCAGCCACTCAACTAACTGAGCCACCCAGGCACCCTGATAATGTGTCTATTTTGTGAGTTAGTCCTGAACCCCTAGAATGTTTGGTGACCTGTCCTGGCACCATGGTTTGAGTGGCCCAACTTGTTAGATGTCCTTGCCTGATCCCAGACATACGTGTCTCTGCTGGTGCCTTTCCCCATTGAGTTCACTCCCTGGGTAGAGTGAAGGAATGTCCAGTTGGATTTGTAGGGGATCACAGTGTCCTTAAGAGACAGAGCTACAAGGTGTTTAGTGCTGAATGGGGCCAGAGAAATGTGGCATACTCTGTACTGGGCTTGATTTACTGAATCTGTAAATTTGTTTTTCTGTAGTTTTGAGTACATTTGTAAAAGGTGTTTATGAACCCATTTATCAATGTCATTTTCTAGAAAGGCCTTTGTTCTGATGATTTTTGTAGAAGAACATACTAATCTAGTCTAGTTAGAAAGTTTCATTTCAGGGGTTCATGGAGTATTTAGTCATACCTACTATGTGCTAGGCTGGGTACAGGGAGAATAAAGGTAAAGCCAGCACAGGCCAGCTTTGTCCTCAGAAAGCCTTTGGCCACTCAGCAAAGAGTAGACGGAAATATTCTCTGCAAGAGGAGGCAGAGTGTGGGTTAGTTTTGAGGGATGAGTAGGAGTTTCTCAGCAGGTGAGACCTGCTGGACCTAAAATGAACCTGCTTAGTACCTGGCTTGAAGTCAGGGTGCTGGGCTTTCTGGGCACTCCTTAAATGTAAGAGACAGCTAAAGAAGGAGGGGCTACATTTGAGCTAAGAGCTTGGTACAAACTGATGGGCTTCAGCTGCATTTTGCCGAGTCACCAGTGCTGGGAATGGCAGGAGTTGGGTCTGGTGGGTGAGGAGACATCAGAGCCCTGCCAGTGGTGCCAGGAGATAAGGGCATTCAGGTTGATCTTGTTAGAAAGCCACTGAGGCCCTGCAGCTGAGGGTTCCTAGGGGAAATGACTTGCTCAGGCAGAGTTTGTGGACTTGTGGGTGTCCCCAGCTCTTAGTGATGACACATGGAGGGTGTGGCTGGCCAGGCTGACAGATGCTCCAGTGTGACCCTCAAAATAGACTGTAACATCATCCCAGCAGCAGCAGCCTCCTGACATGTGATGGGTGGCTCTACCCAAGAACAGCAAGCCTGGGCTGGAGCACAGGATGGAGTTAAGGTTGCAGGGGGATGCTCTTCTCTGCAACTGGTGCCCAGGCCCAGGCCCTGGCCACAGCCAGCCTGCCTTTGCTTGAACTTGCAGCTGACTTCCTTTGGCCAGGCAGCAAAGCACTCATCATTAATTCTGTATACCACAGGGAGGCACCCATTGTTTAGTCTCGGTGCCAGGCCGGGCCTTCAGGAGCACAGCCCTGAGGCTCATCTAGGGAGGAGGCAGATATGCCTACACATACAACCTTACAGGGTGGTATAGAAAAGGCCATTCCATAGTGTGCACTATACCCAGGGGTGGCCCAGAGGTTGGGCTTTCTCTGTACCTGAAAGTTTGGGGAAACCTTCATAGAAGGGGTGATGATGCTAAATCTGGAAGGATGAATTAGAGGGTTCCAGGTTTTCACTTTGTTGAGAAGCAGGTGATCCAGGCATAAGTAGTGGTGTATAAAAAGATGAGGAGCACAGAGCATGAGGTAGGCAAGGGCCAGGTCAGAAATACCTTGTATGCTCTGGCTGAGGAGCATGGGCTTTATCCTGAGGGTGGTAGCAGTGTTTGAGGACTTTGGATCTGCCCACACTTTGGAGAGTGGATGGGACAGAAGAGATTGCTGCTCTGGTTCAGGCAGCCTCTCAGGCTGAGAGCCCTGTCCAGCGTGCGCCCGTAGCTTTAGGTCCCACACTCCAGGCATGGTTTTCCCAAAGCCTATGTCTTCTCTCTCTCGGCTGATCTTTTTCCTGTATGGTAAGATACACAGGAGGGATGTTGAAGACTGGTGGCCAGAGAGGCTTCCTGGGGGTGAAAGCAATCCGCCTTTGCTTGGTCTTTGGTATTTGGTTTTTGCCAAGTCCCACCTGAAAGACGACACTGTCCATAATTTTCCATGGAGACCCAGAGAGCCCCTTGCTCATTCACGATCTCACCTGCCATGTTTGTGATCTGTAGAGCAACTTGAGCTCAGGCCCTCCAGCCTAGAGACAGCCTGTGGCTGGCCCCTGGGTTCCCTCGCTCCATGCACAGTGGCATTGTGCAGTGCCATTGAGAAGTAGGTGGTCATCTGTGGGACCTGGGGGAGGAGGCTTTGTCCTGCCTGTCCTGAGAAGTAGGTTCTGTCTTTGCCCAAGGCAGATACAGATGGTGGTTGTGCCCTGTTCTTCCCGACTGCCCTCCAGTTCTGATGGCATCACGGGCACAGGCTGAGCTGTGGGCTGCATCTCTCCCTGGTCACACATTGCACTATTTCTGGAGACATGGAGTATGTAGAGTCTGGAACATCTTCGAGTGTTCGTATTGCCTACCTGTGTTGGGGATTAAAGCCCAGGTCTAGCTGGGCTTAC